TGGGGAGAGGCGATGCCCTCGGAAAGGTAAGCGCAGCCAGCAACAAGACCACAGTGATGCTGCAATCCAGACCGCCTGCATCTTTATTTTAATCCTTCAGCCTCACTCCCCTTCCCCAGGTCTCCCTGGCTCCCTCTCTCCACATTTGCCATGCTCTGTGTCTCCATGGGAAGACTCGCACCTCTCCAGCCCCACGCTATCAGTTCATCATCCGATTAAAGATTAATTTGAGATTATTGCTCGTGTCAATAGCCCAGAGCCGGAAAAACAATAGCTACACCTGCAGCTTGTTTGTGAACCCTGCTCCTTATGGTGAGCTGTTAATGGACGGAGGCTTTCACCAGGGCTGCCTGTTGACAGGGGCTCGCAGAACCTGCACCGGCACCTGCTGCCCTGCTTGCCCAGCCGAGGATAGATGCATGCATCTTCCAAGGCCTCCCGCAGCCCCAGGTATCTCGAGTGGGAAACCCATGTTGTCTCTGCTGATCGCCCCATGAGCCGTCCCGGCTTCTGCTGTGAAGCTCCGGTCGTTCCCTACCTCAAATCAGAAACAGCCGTCCAGCAAGTGACTTTAATAACAGGCTTTTCCCTGGATCCTGCCTGGTTTCTGTTTGTTTATTCAGCTTTTTCTAGGTAAGGTAAGAGCCAAAAGAAGAATTAGGCTGCTACACTTTGTAGGGACTGAGCCTTGGCTGCCTTCTCCCAGGGCTGCAAGCTTGGATGCTGGAAACTCTCCTCTGGGAGATCACGAAGAGAACATTTCTATCAGACAGTTTTGCAGTGACAGGAGAAGAAGGTGGAAATTTTTTTCCTTCTGACTGCCCTGGAGGCAGGGGGAGGCATTTTGAGAGGCAGTGGCAGTGGCAGTGTTGTCCCTGGCCCACCGCCAGCTCCCCTCCTCAAGGTGGGCTCTGCAGGGATCCCCCAGCTCAGCTGAGCATGAGACGGGCTCATCGTGTCCCTTGTGTTTAAACAATTTCCAGCACTTCTTCTTTTTCCCCTCTTTCCTCTGCCTGGCTGCCCCATGGGGGGTTTGCCAAGGACTTTGGGGGCAGAGTGGCCCTTGGAGCTGCTCTTCACCCTCACTGCACCAGGGCCAGGCATGACTCATGCCCATGCCCGAGAGAGAGGGGGACAGAAAGGGGTGAAAACGACAGTTTTGGGAACTGCAGCCCCCAAATCACCAAGTAGATGAAGCTTAGCCTCTGCAAAGGCAGCTATAATCCACCCACTCCCCTTCTCATCCCCTCTGGGACACTCCAGATGCCTGCAGAGACGATGATTTGAAACAGCAGCATGGAAGCCTTCGAGCCCTATTTAAACGGGTATCTCTGCGTGGGTCTGCCCCAGCTCTCTGCCCTGGGGGGGTCCCACGGCAGGATGGGTTTCCAAACACCCTTAATTGTGCACCAGGTCAGGGAGGGGGGGAAAAAAACTAGTCCTCTCTGGGAAGAAAAAGCACTTTGTGGTTTCCCCGGAGCCTTTGAAAAGGCTCCAGGAGCCGAGGGGACGTACGTGCTTGTTTAAAGGTCCTGCAGAGGTCCGTGGAAATTAAACGTCGGAGTTCAAACGCTCGACGCCATGGCCGTGCCGCCGCCCGGGGAGCGCGGCAGCCCGGAGCCGGCACAGCCCGCACCCCGGCACCACGGCCCCTGCAAACTGCAGCCTGCACTACCTGGATGAAACAGCCGGGCTGCAGGCAGCGGCTTTACGGTGTGTTTAGTTCCTGTGGCATTAAATCAGGGGGAGAAAAACTGCTGAGGTTCCGCCATGAACCCTCTGGCTTTGCTGTGCAGCACACGTTGCCCAGGCAAGTGCGGAGGACCAAGGGCAGGGGACCACAGCACTGCTGCCAGCTGCCTTTGCTGCCAGGGATGCTGCTCTGGGGGCTTTCCTTCCAAAAATGAAATGAAAAAGTAATTGCAACTCATCCTCAGGCCCAGCTCCTGGGTGCAGTTCTCTACCACAGAGCCCCAAAGGTGTGTAGGGGCAAAGAACGGACAGAGGGGATTGCCCAGGTCTGCAGCAGGTTTGAGCTGGATGCAAGGGTGTCCTTGTCATGGGCCCCCATCTTCTGCTCACCCCAATGACCATCAGTGCAGAAATAAGAAATATTTTTTCAGTAGGAAAATGAGCAGCCGGTTAGAAGAGGAGGGATCTGGGCCACGTCCACCGCCCTGCGACAGGACAGCAGCTGGTCCAGACCTGGGCATAACCTGGGGAGGTCAGAGGCATTGCCCCAAGATGCGGGACAGCATCTGAGCGGCCGTGGGTGCCCGGGATGCAGGGTGCTCCCGTCTGAGCAGCCGTGGGTCCCCGGGGCACAGGGTGCTTGGGCAGGGCAGGGAAGGGAGCAGATGCAGCAGCGGCCCAAGTGCCAGTGGGCTGCGCTTTTGTGATTCAGAACAGGCAGCATTTCTTTTTTTCCAGTGTTTTAAGGCTGCATTTGTGTTTGAATGCCAGCAGGATTTGTCAGTTGGAGCCTAGGCTGTCCTCCACCCATTTTATACCTCCCCTCCAAAAGCCTTGCATCCCAGCCAGGCTCTGGACAAAGCCAGGAACACAACCAAGAGCAGGAAAGATTGCTAAAGAGGAGGTTTCTCCACAACTCTCATCACCTGCCTAACCAATATTAGTCGAAGTCCATTGAGAGTGAGCTGGCAGGGTTCCCCAGTGGCTGCCAGTGCAGGGACGAAGCAACAGCCTGAACAACGTGGGAAAGGGGTCCCCATCCGAATCGGTGACAGCTGTGACACGCGTGGATGGGGGTAAGGCACAGCCCATGCGGTGCAGTTGGATGCATGATGCAGGGCTCTAACACTAAGGAGTAACCAAGGGCTCTTGGGTGTCAAGAGCTGCAAAGCCAACACCGACCCGTCAAAGCCGACACCGACCCGGGCTGGTGGGACAGCCTGCGCCACCACCCCAGCAAGCAGGGCTTGATGGGCTTCTGCTCCCTGCTTACCCACTCCTCCACCCTCCTTTCCAGCTCCTGCAGGTGGTCCATTCTCAAAATTGGTCTTTTTTTAACTATTTAGCTGCTTTTGTGGCTCCAGGATTTTATGGATGGAAAGCTGAAAGTAATTAGTGCCCCTCCCCCGCTTCCTGTTGGGAAAAGGAAGAAAAAAGCACACACAAGAGCAAACCCAAAACTTCCTGCCCTGCTAATAATAATCAAGTAATGAGTCCAACTCGGCTGGGAAAGTCAGTTTATACTGGGCAAGCTCTTAATTAAAGAAGGGCTGAGCAGCAGCTCTGCTCACTTTTACAGCCACACACATCTTCCTGCTCCGTAACAGCCCTGGGAGAGGGGCGGGGAGCCAGACGCCAGCGGGCTGGAGGGGGGATGAGTGCTGGGGGGGTCCACACTTTTATTCCCTGGTTAAAAGGAATGTCCTGGAGACGGCACTGAGGAAAAAATCCCTGCCCCTGGGGGAGGCAGGCTGTGCTGTCCCCAAAGCACCCCAAATTGGGAGGTGGCTGGGAAGGTGTGAGGCAGGTGGTTTGGGGTATTGGGGCAGTTTCGTTATGGGAATCCTAGAGGCAGGCACCTGGAGTATCCCAGAACACCTGCCCCTCGTCCCCTCCTGGCCGCAGGCATGCAGGGGACAGCCCCCCTGGCACTCGCTGCAGGGCTCTGCAGTGACAACAGGATGTGTCACCTCTGCTACCACACCACCCACACAGGGTCACCCCGCCGGGAGCTCAGGTCCCCAAGGCGCCGGGTGCCACGGCCAGCCCCAGGGAGGCTCAGGAGCCCGCCCAGGGCCAGGGGCAGCCCCTGGTGCTGCAAGCAGGGACCTGGTCCCCAGGGACCACCAAGGGACCCAGCCAGGCAATGGGTGCTCCTGAAGCCCCGTGGGGAAGCCAGCACCCAGCCGGGCAGGCTGGCAGGGACAGGGCAAGCCCTTGAGCTTTCCCACATGGAACCAGGGAGATCCAGAGTACGCCCAGCAGCCCAATCTCCCCCATAGCCTGCACCATCCCATGGCTGCCCCTTCCCCAACTGCCAGGCTTTGCCTCCCTGAGAGGGAACCACTCTGCAGATCCCCCCTGCGAATGCCACTTGCCCTTTGCCTGCAGCAGAGGCTGGAAGTACAGGGTGGGAGCAGGAGAATCCGAGTCCAGCACCCCACTCCCCACAGCACTCCCCACCCACCGCTGCACAGTCACCCTGCACACCCGCCAAACCCTATTATAAATTAACCATTTTATTGAATATCAATAAACTGTATATAATTATATAAAAAGTTTCATCAGTACAAAACCGTGGCACAAAAATATAAATACCAGTGTACCTTTGAAATGTAAACATCCTCTTTGTAATGATTCCATGAAAACAAGGTCCAAAGAAAGATGCATTCAGGAGGCACCTGTCAATCCCCACAAATGGGGCTTTTGGCACACACCTGTCGGTGGCCGCCTTGGGACAGGCCACCATTGTATCAGCTGACAAGTGCCTGCTATTAGTCACAGTTCTCTTGAAAAGCAGTTGTTAAAGAGTCATATTAACAGGTGCTTGAGTGCATAGCTGCTCTGTAAACAGGGTTGGTGTTTGAAATGGCTACCCCGTGCCTTTCATGGACACTGTTAATCTCGCAGGCATTGCAAATTGTCATTGTGCTGGGGAGAAGCAGCTGCTTCACAACTACTGGGATACTGTATTATTGCATAGTTACACCTTCTACAGGCGGCGTATATACACTCGGGGTGGGGGGGGTTAGCATTTTGTCCTTCATTAAAAAAAAAAAATATTGGTTCTTAAAAGTTACCAAGTGGTTACGGCAAAAAAAAAAAAAAAAAACCCAAACCAAACATAAAACCCCAACCCCCCCCAAGCTACATGGTCGCAGTGTTTTGTTACCGGCAGTGGGGCCAGGGTGCAGAGCCAGCCCTGCAAGGTGCCGAGTGCCTCTGGCAAGCAGGGGCACCTGCCGAGGGGCTGCAGCCACAGCCAGTCGGGCTCAGGGCTGTGCCCCCCGCCCCAAGTTCCGCACGCTCGCTTTGCCACCCAAGCTTTGCGCTGGAGTCCAATCCTGCACCCTCAGACGCCGGGATGGGAGAAGGATCAGGCCTTCACATTGCACAGGAGGCACCGAGCGAGGAGTGTGAGGGTCTTGAGGGCCAGAGTAGCTGCATCCAGCCCGGCACACACTGCGATGGCGATGAAGGAAACTAACTCCTACAGAAACTAGTTATAATATAGGTATTTGCGCAGTGAGAGGCCTGGGGGAGCGGAGTCCTCAGCGAGAGCCGGAGCAGCCCGTCTCCTCATGCTTGTGGAGCAGTGACATACGGGAGAAAGTCCGGGAGCAGGTTTTGCATTGGTACTTCTTTACATCTGAATGGGTCTGCAGGTGGGCTCGGAGATTAGAGCGGTCAGCAAAGGCCCGGTTGCAGTGTGTACAGGAAAAGGGTTTTTCACCTATGGGACAAAGAGAAACGCTCCCAATTAACTAGTGCATCAACACATGGGGAATATCAAAGAAGGAGCCATTCATTAGCCAAAGTTTGTGAAGAGCACAGTGAAAAGAAGTGCTGGCTGTTATTGTTCGCAGGGAAAGCCTGGCGAGGTATGTACAGCATTCACTTTGGGGAGAGCTGGGGACTTGGATTTCCTACTCCCAGCAAAACCTTTCCTATGAACCACGGAAAATTAATGCTGGAAACATCTGCAAGCAGCAAGGCAGTTGCACATACAAACGAAGACGCGACATTCGTCTCCTGCCTGGAGCCAAGTGAACCGTTTGCAGAGAGGCAGGAAAGCCAAGCACTATGTGTTAATTATATCATAGCAGGCAGCGGCTGAAAGGCGCCAGCACCAGAGTGAGTATAGCTATTTCCTCTGTCGAACCCCACACTCCCCCTTCTCCCGCCCAGCTCGCATTGAAAAGCCTGGCCAGGGCGAATTCCTCCCAGAAAGACTCTTTTAGAGGAAACAAATGCGTATGCTCAATTTGGAAAGCACAATTAAGTCTTCCCGGCTTCCTTCAGCCATCATCTTTAGTACGTTAAGAGGGTGTGAAATCAGTGCCAAGTAACAATTACACTATCGCCGCCGCCCCACAAAGGATGCTCGGGAGATGCATTGTACCGGCGGGGCGGGCTGCAGCTG